GTCTCTGGACTCCCATGTAGTCGACTGCGGTTCAAGTCCCAGACCCGGTGGCTTAAACTCATGCCAGGCATGTGTGCATGTGTGCCCAAGATCCCGAGAAGAGAATGGAGGAGAAGGGATTGCGGTGTGGTCATCCCCTCTGGGGGATGATTTCTCGCTTTCTATCCCTCTGTCTCTCTCTTTCTGGTGAGTGCACAAGCCCTATAGCAAAAACTTCTGAAAAAAATAAGTGCTCATATAAATTGGTTTCAATTCTTTTCAAGTTCATATAACTTTAGTGAATGAGCTGGCTTCAAATGTAATGAAAAAAAGATTAATACGTGAAAGTCTTCACAATTTCCAACATACATTTTGTCTAGGTTTTCATTAATCAAGCAACATCATGTTTATTTTATTATGGTTGGTTTAATGAAACAGCTATTTAGGTGTTGCGTGTTGCATTTTACATGGTGGATATCTAACAGGGAAACGAATTCATGACTAGCTTTTTCTGGCTTTAGTTTTAGTGCCAACAGAGGATCTTTGACCTCAAAGTAACTCTTGGATATTTACAGAGGGCCCCTGAGACATCCAAAAGAGAGATGTTAAACCAACCAGGATTATTCTTCATATGTTGGATAAAAATGGAAAGCATTGCCAAATGGGGTAATTCTAGTTTTCTTTGTATTTTATTTGAGTTCTATGTATAAATAAGTTATGCACTTGTATGTCTATGTATGCATTGTGTTCCAAAATAATTTGAGATTCCCAGGAATTTATGGTAGGCTATTATGTGAAACTGGCATATATAGCCAAATTTCTTTGTCAGTTATGACTTTTTGTCAGAGCATTAACTATGGCTATGATCTTAATGTTATATCCTTAAGGAAATTCACAAGGAAGATGGAAAGAGAATGCACTCTTATAAATAAAGTTTTTTTTAAAAAAATGTAAACATTTAACTGGGTGAAATCTTCATTTTTCTATGTAAACTGATTGATTTTCTAAACTGTTAAACCAAAATTAACCCAAAAAAGTAAGAAAATGTTTGACAAAATTGCATGCTAAGTTGCCAGTACACTGCACCTGAGTTAAAGAGGTAAAATTGGTGTAAAGGAATATAAATCCAATGTTAAATGTGGACTCATGGAAGCATTATTGCCTGAGTCCTTTTATAATTCTTGTTAAGTTAGCATGCTTTAGTTATTCCTATTATTGGTCTTTAAATTGTATAAGAACTATTGAGAGGGTCTATTGGTAAGATTGTTCAGTTTTACATCGGAAAATTGTTAAACAAATTTTGTTATTGTCTGTACATGTTCATAAGCTGCTGGTGAATGCTAAAAGTTAGGACTGCCGAAAATCAAAAAAAATTTGCTCAATGTATAAAAATCTATTTTGGGGACCAGCAGTTATCTTAATGGCTATATCACTGAACTCCTACGTAGTCTACCACGGTTCAAGTCCCGGATCCGGTGACTTAAAATTCACACTGGGTGCATGTGCATGCGTGCTCAAGATCCCAAGTGGAGAATGAAAGAGAAGGGACTGCAGCGTGACCATCCCCCCTGGGTGGTGCTTTCTCGTTTTCTGTCTCTCTGTCTCTCTGGTAAGCGCATGCGCCCTATGGCAAAAACCTCTAAAAAAAATTCTATTTTTACAAGCTTAATAGCTCCTTTAAAACATCAAATTTCCCAAGGCGAAAGAGAAAAGACAAACATGAGTGGCTATTAAAAATCAAGTCTATACATAACTGGGACAAAAGCTAGAAAACCACTGTGTAACAGCTTAATAGGGTGAGAGTCTCAAGGAATGGGTGGGACAAGTTAAGGCTAGGAGCTCCAGGCTGCCCTCTCCCCCAACCCCTTGCCTTCTTGTGCTCCTTCTGGTATTTTTAGTCAGTCCTCTTCCCCACTGGACTCTCTCCTTAGTTAAATGATTGAGAAGTCTTTTGTACAGGCGATGAGGCAGACTCCACCCCCTCATCCCCGTTCAGTTCTCAGCCGCTCCTTGCAGGATTTATTAAAACTTAGGTTCACTTCTCAGTGTAGGGGTAATTCATAACAGAGATCAGAGAAGTTCCCAAGTAACTCAGAGAAGTGTTATAACACAATTGGCAAGGCACCTTACCCTTTGATCTGTCACTTTAACAGCACTCAGTAGTCACTCGTGGTAATCCTAAAGGCTGGGAACTTCTCTGAAGGCAGGAGCTGGAAATGGCCCAGATCAGAGCCTCGGCCTCAGAAAAATCTGTTTCCAATGCAGGCAGCCCGGGCACTGAACAATACCCATGACTGGCACCCCCTCACGTCCTCACTGGGGTTTTGTCCCCAGTGTAGAGTTGGTCACTAGAGACAAGACAGATTGCACCAAGGTCTGAAGGGAGCTCGGGACTTCTAAAGTCCATGCTGACCTTTGAGTATTGACAGGGCCCGAGACCCCAACGGCTCCCCTTGGACCTCTGACAATTTCACTGGACAAGACTCAGGTAACCCTTAAAGTGACTAAGATTAATTTCTGTCTAAATCAGAGGTTAAAATTGTTTCCAAAAGTACACTCATTAAAAAATAAAAAACAGTAGTAAACAGGTTGACGGACCATGTGACAAGAGAAAAAATTAGAAGACTGAGCCAGAGAGGAAACATCTCTATTAGCAACTAAAAGTTCTTGTAACCATCCGGACTCTGTCCTCACCCTCCTACACTCAGGAGGAGGAAAAATTGGCCCACAAGCAGTAGGCTACTGGAGGACCCGAAGGATGGTTGCTGTCACCAGGCCAAAAGTGAGGCCCTTGAACGAGAGTTGGAGAGGTTTTTGCTATAGGGCCCATACGCTTACCTGAAAGACAGAGAGAGACAGAGAGACAGGAAGCGAGAAATCCCCCCCCAGAGAGGATGGCCATGCTGCAATCCTTTCTCCTCCATTCTTTTCTCGGGATCTTGGGCACACACGCACACACACCCAATGTGAGTTTAAGCCACTGGGTCTGGGATTCGAACCATGGTGGACTACATGGGAGTCCAACGACATTACCATTGCACCAACTGCTGGTCCTTAGACAACCTTATTAATGGTGTTATCTTAAAAATGTGTTGCTTTCATACAGGTAAGCCCTAAACCCTCAGGCAAGGCTCCCTTAGGAATCAAATCCCAGAAAAAAAAAAAAAAAAAAGAAAAGAAAAACTTGGAAAACACTGAGAAAATCAGCCCAAGTCAGTTCAAACTGGACTTTAAATTCAGTGAAACTTCTTACCTGCCAAAGAAGACTATCACCCTGTCCTCTAGCTGATACTGAGGAGACAGTGATTTGATCTCAGTAAAAGAGAAGTGGGGAATGAAGCAGGAGCGACTCCATCTTGGAGGAGCGCCTCCATTATGAACACTTACATCCCATTCCCCATGGTTAAAAAGATGTTTTCTCTTACTAAGGTAGATGCCCTAAGATAGGGTCCAGGCACTGGACCTTGCCCTGAGCCATGGAGACCGTGAAGATCCCTCTGTGTTTAGGTGGGGATGAACATACCCTTAGGAATTATTACCCTGCTTACCTGCTTGTTCTGCCCCTGTGATGTGCTCATGCTTTGCTTTTACATTGTAAAACTCTACCCCCTACCCTTTCAAGCCCACCACTCTTTGTTCTTATGAGTGCCACATCAACCCGGAAAAGAGTGTGATGTTTGCCTTTATAAGCACCCTCACCTTGCACTCAAGGTTGCGGGGTTTGGAGAGACATGAGTCCCCCCTGTATGCACCGGCTTAATAAACCCTAATAAATCTGGCCATGTCTGGTTGTCCTCGTATTACTCACTGAGTAGACTATAAGGATGTAAGCTATTTGAACGTTTCTGAGACAACAGAAGCTTTAAGTAGATTTATCTTGGAATACCTAGGATTCTGAAGTATAGTTCACACTTGACTGGAGCTAACAGAACTGAAATCTTTCTCATTTTAAAGTGAAATAAGACCACAGCCATTGTGTTGGATAATGAAATGGAGCGCGGAACTGCAATGTGATCTCCATGTGTTTGTCAAATAGTGACCGCGCTAAGATCAGCACAGGTAAAGAAACTTAAGACTGGAAAAAATATTTTTTTGAGGCTTTCTTTAAAGGCTGTCTTTAAAGCACTGTTTCTTAAATTTTGGGCTGTGCATAATGGAGTCCCTTTGAAAATCCAAGGAAAAACTATGGATGCTCGGACACACGAAGCTCACACACGCGCCTTTCCAGAGTTCCAGACTCCCTGGAGCCCATATGGAGAGCACCCCCCAGGCCCCACATTAAGAACCTTAGCTTTGCCCCTGCATTTAAAGAAAAATGCTCTGTACTGATTTCTCTCTTGTGAGGGAGTGGAGGGGAGGGGGGGTGTGCTTAAAACCTAGCAGAAACTTTCTAAGCATTTAGGTGCCAGTGGACAGTACAACCAGGCTGGTTGTTTTCACTTAAGTGGAGACAGGCCAGGGATCCGGTGGAGATGAGCGGAGGCCGGGTGGAAAGGGAGATATACTATGCCAGGCGTTGCTTTAGCAGAGTCACCTCGGTCCTCTCGCAGGGCCCCTCCACCCCACGCCATAGGCGAGCAGGGCACGCAGAGCTCTGTTCGCAGCAAGAGGAGAAAGCCTGTCAGAAGTCGAGGTGACATCTCCCCTGGGGGGTGATTTCTCGCTTTCTGCCTATCTCCAGTGAACTCTTCTTAGAGCAAAAATCTCTAAATAAACAAAACAAAGCAAAAGAGTTGGGGGTAACCGTAGGCTCTTAAAAGTACCACCTGTGCCCTACAGACTCAAATGATGATCCCAGAGCAGAACACACCCCTTGGCCCACTGCTCCGCTTCACAGATGAGAAACTGTCGGCAAAGGGTTAAAGTGCTTTTCAAGGTGACATCCTCGCCAGCCTCTTTCTAGGCTCCCTCTCTGGAGCGCCTGGGCCTGGCTGGGGCAGACGAAGGTGCCAGGTGCGCTCCCCAACTCCTCCCGCCACCCACCCGGGCGGGGCGCCTCGGGGAGCCGAGCCCCCGCCTACCGGCACCATGGAGTAGGTCATCATCATCAGCATGTCCTGGCTCTCGGCGCGGAGGTGCGGCGCGGGCTCCCCGCTGTGGCTGCGCTTGTTGCGCGCGGCGCTGGCGGGGTCCGGGGGTGCGGCGGGCGCCCGGCGGGGCGCGCGGCTCAGCTCTGCCAGG